ATTTCATTTTACCACGGGTTTTCAATTATTTTTATAATATCTGCAATAAGTTTGCTTTATATATAGATATATATACAATGTTTATATTTTGTATTTGTTTATACTTAGCTGTGGAAAAGTAGTCTACAATGACAATAACAACCCTTCATCATACCCTCCCAATAGGTCTTGCCACTAGACGGTTGGCGGTCAGCCGCCTGGATAATAAAACATTAGAAGTTGTCTTGTGTAAAATGACACATAAACCACAATCAAACGTTATCCAACTAGTCTAAAAAAAACTAAGTATTAAAATATACATAAAAAAAAGCACATTTGAAAAAAAATGGTTTTTATACTTTTTTAGGTAATAGAAAATTAAATAAGAATTTTACTAAAATAAAAAAACCAATTGGGTTCGGGGGGGCTAAATCACATATTGGGGGGGGGGGGTAATTCCCCTTTAGCCCACCCCTAGGTCCGCCTATGTATGGCAGTGTCTGTTTTCTCACAAGTTGTATCACTTGGCTTGTTTCCTGCTCCCAACAGTCACAATTATGACTGTGATTATAACCACAAAACACAACTAATAAAAACAATAGCGTTATGCTATTTTCGTATCCGAATGTTTCACGAAACCAAAAAAATTAACGAAGACATAATAGGTAAAAATAAAATAAAAACATTGACGCGACTTGCAATATTTCAGAATGTTTAGTAACCACTAACTACGGACTGATAATAATTTCCTTCTTTTTACATTTTCACTTATTACCAAATAATTTATACTTAATAATTTTCTAAATTCAAAAACTTATTAAATCGTTAATGTTCTGCATGAGTACCAATTTTGTTGTTTCTTTCATTATCTTTTATCAGCGGTTAAAACAAAAAAAATGATATCGACAATATGAAGTCAGAAACAATCATCGAAAATTATTGAACAAAGTTAGATACGGCAAGTAAAATAACGAAACGGAATCAACATGGCGGCCTCTGAGGCTAGTCACTTTTGTTACATGGGAAATATGCATTGGGCACCTTCCTTGTATATAGTTCAGTGGTGGTGGGTTTATGCCATTCGTTTGCCGACTCCCGTCGCTGCCGTGTGTCGTCGTTTAACGTATTTCCGAAAAAAAAAAACAACAATGTGCTCTTATTCTTCTCAGTTCGCACCGTCTGAACAAAAGTTACAATTTACATTACTATATTTTAATCGTCAATGCAAAATATATTTTTTTTTATTGTGTGGCAGTCAGCGCATGGTACGATAAATTATACCTTGTAAAGGTAAGGCTTGAATTATTTAAGTAGTATTATAATTTAAAAAAAAAAAACTAGTAATTTGTCGAATCGGCATGGAAAAAAATTGTTAATTGTTAGTAGGATTTATGAAAAAATATTATATGTACAAAATATCGTTATTGTGTGCTCGTTTATATGAGCGCTTTGAAGCGGTTGACATTTATAATAATATGTATAGACTATTTTGTTTATCACGGTTTTGAAAAGAAAACCTATTCTTTTAACTGATCATACAACTACTATCATACTGTTCGGCTTAAATGTATTAACATTTCTTTAACCTTAAAGCAAGCAGTGGTGCCTTTGAGATTTCTGTTGGCTGTTGAATTGGGGTGTTTACACCGCTCTCAATTTTGAGTGGGATAAATGTTATTTTTGCTTATTGTGTGGACAGTGGACAACCTATCAACTAGAGAATAGAGACTAGTATAGATAATTAAGATGCGACCACATGGAGTTTAATTCAGCTATTGATTTAAAATATTCTCAAACATGTAATTTTTTCAGGCATAATATATTTTACTTATTGATGGCTGCACAAAAAACCTCCTAAGTTGAAAAATTGGCTTTTCTTTTTTTTTCAATTTGTAAGGTTTCGCTTTGTACTCATCGTTATACATTAATACATTCAAAAATAAATATATTTTTATTCACTTGCTATGAAATTATGATAAACAACAATTTCTTGCTTACTGTGTTAAGTTTCAATTTGGTATCCTTAAAAACCCAACCTGAACAGTAAAGCTTTTAGGTCAGCCCATTTCACGGTCACGTACAATTGTATTATAGAACAGTGGCCCAGTCCTGACCTGCTTTAAGCTAACCTTTAATTTTTGAACTGGGTGTATACGCTTAGTTGTAAATAATATTGAGCTGGTTCGGCAGCAGAACATTATGCACAAACTTGCTGCTTGGTTTAGAACAAAACAATTTAATCATTCGTGTTACTATTTTATTTATTTTAAATGTAATAGTGATTCCAAAATTAGGGATAGGTATGTGAATATTATATTAAAAAATATGTAATTTTAGAGTTCTGGTATTGGACTTGTTGCATTAAAATTAAATTTTAAACCAAGATAGTATCCATATTTTGTCATTTTTAACTTATTATATTAACTCATATTTAAGTTTAAAAATTGAATAGATTTGATGTGTTAATACACTCAAACGTTATTTACGTAATGTGTCTAGCGTGTTTTTATCAAATTTTCTTCGTCCGGGTTACTGAAACACCAAGGGGATGTTCGTATAGGAAACGTTAAGTATTGAGTTGAACTGGCTTTAAAATGTCCACAGAATAGTTCTACTAAATAAATCCTACTAGTATAGTGTTTGCAAAAAACGATTAGATATGATATATTATAAAAATCTAAACGATTTTTTGCAAACACTGTATTGGTAGAGAATATTCTACTTCAGTGAGACACTAATGCGTTAGCATTGATATAGGTTAAAACATAACAGTGGTGTATGTTACCTATTATCATTGAGTATATATATACTCAATGGTACTAATAATATGAGGTTTTTTCCACATTCACATTAATTGTATATACTATTCTAATTAAAATTTTTAATATTTTCACATTATAACTATACACATAATTTTCAAACTAAAATATTTAATCAACAATATTTTATATTAAAATAAAAAAAGTGATAGTCCAACCGTTGTCCACCGACAATTAAAAAAAATGTTTTACACTTTCACACATTTGTTTGAAGAATAGAATATCAGCTATATTGTTAGCCATTTGACTATCTGTTGATTATTCTTTAAACAAATGTGTGAAAGTGTAAAACAGTTGGTTGATTTAAAACAATAATTCGACTATTTTGTACTTGGTTAATCTGAACAACTAGATAAATGTCAAACAGAATTTAACAAACTCAGACTCTTGAAATTATACGTCTAATAAAATAAGATAGGAAAGTTATTTATAAGAAATTTGTTAAATATGTAAGGTACTCATCTCTGAGAAAAAAATTTAAATTTATAATTACACTAATTATTTTCCAAATAAAGTACTCAAACAAAAAATTTAATTAGGCTGATATTTTATAACATCACTAAATATATAAAAGATGTAGCAAGAATCTACTTGGGTACTTATTAGGTACTTATAGTTTTTAGGTAATTAAAATAACTACAAAAGTCACACATCAATCACACCGTATACAAACATTTTTTGGTATTAAGTAAAAAAAAATGAATGAATATTTTTGTGTTTTTTTTCGCTAATTTTTTTTAATAAACTCTTAAGTTGTATACCTTACGTATACCAATACCAATACAATAGTATAGCAACTCTATAAATCAGAAATCGTACCTGAAAGGTATTTTATTGGGCTAAAAATTAAAAAAAAAGTCACCCCTTCCCCTAAAAAAAATGCTAATTTATTTGATTGCCTTTTGAACGAGTTTTTATCGAAATGCAATATTGTTTTCTTAATGTTTTCGACATTGAAATTTCAATTTATCTACTATTAACAATGAAATCATAGTTATCATCAGTTATCTCTATAATTACTAATCCATTAATTTTGATCTTGGTCATAGACATACATTGTAATTAGATGACAAACTCCGTATAATCGATTAACGAAAATTTGAAACCGACAGCCATTTGCTGGTGGGGCAAAAACGATAGTTAAATATCGATACTTTAGGTATTGACATGTTAGTATCATAGTCATATCGATATCACTGTATACAAATATCGATAGCTCACTATGGTTTTCCTTCACCGTATATAAAGGCGTTGTGCTTTAATGATCAAACGTTGAGTAATAAAATAATGGATGTCCACCAAGCTTATCGCCCGAGAACAATGTGATAGCAACAATATATCACAACGTTATACAGCTATATGGTTTATATAATTCAAAAATCAAATTATAATTATTTTTACTAAGTATCAAAAACGTGCTGGGGCTTACACGCGTTGTAATAAATCTACTGTGATTACTATTAGGCGTAATACAGTTATTATTATAACTGCATTTTAATTTTTATAGTCATAGAAAACGTTTTCTGTACAAGATAGATGGACATAATAATAAACGGACTACCCGGTGTTCAGGTAGCCGATTGCGCTCTGTATTCAGCGTTTGAGCTATATTGTGTACTTTTTTAAAATAAATTTGATATTGTTTAAAAATTGTATTTAATTTAAAAGCAAGTCAGCAGCAGGCTCGATCGACCGGCGGGCAACACCCTAGTCGCGTGGTCGAACGATCGGCCATTTTGTAGGGAACGATGCATTACAATAGCTGCTATTGTTACAACAGGGGTCGCGTGGAGGGTGCCATGCCCCTTGGCTGGTGCTTGGGATTAACAATTTAAACATATTCACTACTACAGTGTAAATAAAAACCGTTTTGTATTTTTCTCATTGATCATCGACGGTTAACGTTCAGACTCCAAACGGAATCGGCGAGTCATTGTACTTTGTTCTGATCTGTTCTGCGCAATAGCAGCTGCTCCCCTCGTGGGTATGTACCTAATATAATAAATCTCCCTGGTGGTGGCGATCAATGAAGCTTTTCAAGGGACGAGGGTTCAGCTACATACATTTGTTGTCCACAGAGTTGATTTGTGCATCGTCCACGTCCTGGAAAATATTGTCGCCCAAGTCTGCTCTCGAATGCTGTGAAAAAAGGGCCGCGTTTAGGTGAGTTTTAAATTATTATTATTTTTTAAATGCGCGCACATAATATAATAATATATTAGCTACGCCATGATTTACACGATTGTGCATGATTGCTTATTTATTACCGCCGGGTTTGCACCGTGCACTTGGATTTACTCTCAAATACTAAAAAAATACTTTAAAATTTTTACAAACCGTTATATGTTTCAATGAAATTGTGAAACTTATTTTGTTACTGGTTAATACCTATTTTTGTAGCCAACAACTCAAAATGCTCTTAATGCAATTATTAAATTTATACAATACTAGTACGTTATTTCGTCGAGTGTACTATAAAGCCAAATTAATGACCACAGCGAAATTCTGCAAGAAAAATCTTATTAGTATAGTTTCTGCAAAAAACTTTTAGATATGATATGATAATAATCTAAAAGATTTTTTGCAGACACTGTATTGGTAACGAATATTCTACATTAGTGAGACACTAGTGCAATAGCACTAGCATAGGTCAAAACAAGAACGTTGTGTACATTATTAATTATTGTAATATAACTTACCTAACATTTTTTTTTTTTATTAAAATGATTAACAAAAAAACATACCTACCTTAAACAAAAATTGTAAATATTTATTATAATTGGTTTAAAATTATTATGAATGTTTTTTAAAAGTATAACATTTATAATTTGCTAAACATAAATAACAAGTTTTAAATTGTATTCTGATAAAAGGAAAAATACAAATATAAGTTTTTATTGTACTTAAAATAGTAAAAGCATTATGATAGGTATTAGTATGTAAAATTACTTTTCTCAAATTTTAACTAAGTTTCCTTACGTTTCATAAAAACTTATTGCATTACAGTAATTTGTATTTTTAGATTACCCAACAAATGTTTAAATGTTAAAATGTCATGTATTTACAACGTTTATTGGTATTAATACGACTGCGTCCAGGTAAAAAGGGGTTAAGTTCAAAATTGCAATCTTTAGCCACTTATTAGTTCAGAATAAAAATCTTTAATTTTATGGTGACAACCCCATTTTGTTCAAAAATGACTTAACCATTTTACCCGTTATCCGTCGATTATAGTCTCTTGTTAACTTTATTTATTTTTTACTTGTGTAAAAAGTCTTTACTATTGTAAACTTTATTATATTGTTTACTGCGGTCTAGTTCCGTTCAGAATAAATACATTATTTCGTCCGATGTCCTAAAAAGCCACATAAATTACCGCAGCGAAATTATACAACGAAAATCCTATTAGTATAGGGTCTGCAATTTTTTTTTAGATATAACATGATAATAGTCCAAAAGTTTTTTTGAAGACCCTATATTGGTAGACAATATTCTACTTCACTGAGATACTATTGCGTGAAATCAAAAATGTTGTGTACATTAATATTATAATAGTCATATAACTACCTACATAACTTATTTCTTTTATATTACAATTCTTCATGAGGAACCATACCTTAAAAAAAATGTTTAATTTCTGATTTAAAAAATATTTCTATAAATATTTTTTAAATGTATTAAAATTTATAATTTATCAAACACAAATGACAAGTTATAAATTGTATTCTGACCAAAGAAAAAAATACAAATAAAAGTTTTTATTATACTTTATATAATAATTATCGCATTATATTGCCAATATAAAGTAAATATATTTAAGTTATTTTAAAATTACTTTTTTCAAATTCTAATTAAGTTTCCTATACGTTACTTAAAAACTTATTTTCAGTTGTTTGTGTTTTTAGACTAACCAACAATGTTGAAATGCTAAGTTCATTGGTGTCGAGTGCCTTGTTAACTTTATTTTTTTTAGTAGGTATTTTTGCTTTTATCTTATCATCTACAAGAAAAATCCTATTAGTATAGTGTCTGCAAAAAACATTTAGATAAGATATGATAAAAATCCAAAGGATTTTTTGTAGACACTGTATTGGTAGAGAACATTCTACTTCGGGCCTAAACGTGCATGAAGAATGAATAATACTAAATAGAAAAAGATGTTTGAAAAAGGTAGTTATTGGACATAATTTTTTTATTAAAGATTAACTAAAACAATTTTAACCACAAGTGAGAAGTAGTGATTACTTGACTTTGGATTTAATAATTTTTTAGACTTGTTTATAAAAATGTGTAATAGTGTAATTTGTTACTGTCCAAAGACATTATTCACGTGTCTGGTGTGTACCCTATAATGTTTCATTTCTTTGTTCAGATTGTTGAGATGCCAAGAAAATATTTATAGGAGAAGTTTAAAAAAAATCCTACTATTATAGCGTGTGCTAGAAACATTTAGGTAAGACATATAATAATAACCTAAACGATTTCTTGCAAACGCTGTATTGGTAGAAAATATTTGGCAGTAAAAAAGTATTTGAGCAATAGAAAAAGAACAAGTAAATATTCGCATTACCGTATTATTACCGTGTACAGGTTACTGTCAAACTGAAGAAAATCGACTAAAAAAATCCTATTCCTATCTCTCTTTTAGATGTGATATATTAAGAAAAACCAAAATCTTTTTCATAGAGTGTATTGGTAGAGAACGATCTACTTAGAACCAAATAATTGTGCGTGAGCAAACAAAGAAGATAGTCTTCAGTAGATGTCTACAAGAAAAACATATCCACAGCGAAGAAAATCTTCTAAACAAATCCTATTAGTACCGTGTCTGAAAGACGTTTAGATATGATATTTTACGATAATCAGAACGATTTTTCACAAACACTGTATTGGTAGAGAACATTCTGCCTCAGAGTCAAGTCGTGCATAAGCAATTGAAATAACAAAAATGGCTCAATGTGTGATTTCTTTAAAAATCCTACTAGTATGGCGGTTGCTATAAATCGTTTAGATATGACATATTAGATATTCCAAATGATTTATAGCACACGCTATATTGGTAGTGAACATTCTACGTCAGTACCTGATATAGCTATTGAAAATTGTATTTATTAATCTGTATAAAATTTTAAGTTTTTTACCAAGTAACAAATGTCAAAACGATATGTGTAACTTATATTATTGTAAAAACTTATTAACTTAGTGATTTTACACAAAAAATGGTAAAGAATAATTTTGTAATAATTTTTGGTGCAGTGTCTAAGCGTGCTTAGGATATTGAAACAACCAAAAAGGCTTTAATGATTCTTTAAGAATATGTAATGATGTAAATTATTTTATAAACATTGTACACGTGCCTCATATGTTCTATTAATGTGTGATTTCTTTTAAAGTCCTACTGGTATGGCGTGTGCTATAAGTCGTTTAGATATGACATATTAGATAATCAAAAGGATTTATAGCACAACCTACATTGGTAGTGAAAATTCTACGTCAGAACCTGATCTAGCTATTGAAAATTGTATTTATTAATCTGTATAAAATTTTAAGTTTTTTACCAAGTAACAAATGTCAAAACGATATGTGTAACTTATATGATTGTAAAAACTTGTAATTTTAGAGACTTCGAAGGCCAATTGTGCTTGACCAATTGAAGAAATAACTAGATTGGATTTAATGATTCTTTTGATTTGTTTCAAAAATATTATAAATTGCCTCGTGTGTTCCATAGTATATTAATTCTTCATCCAGGTTACTAAAAGCCTAGAAATAGTTATAGTGGATGTCTACAAGAAAAACCTTACTGATATGTAAAAGAAAGGTTAGGAATTGAGTTGAACTGGCTATATGCAAGTGCTAAATATTCGCATTAACGTATTATTACTGTGTACAGGTTACTGCCAAACTGGGAAATGTCCACAGCGAAAATCGACTAAAAAAATCCTATTTGTATACTCTCTGTGACAAAACTTTTAGATGTGATATATTAAAAAAATCCAAAACCTTTGTCACATAGAGTGTATTGGTAGAGAACATTCTGCCTCAGAGTCAAGTCGTGCATACGCAATTGAAATAACAAAAATGGCTCAATGTGTGATTTCTTTAAAAATCCTACTAGTATGGCGGTTGCTATAAATCGTTTAGATATGACATATTAGATATTCCAAATGATTTATAGCACACGCTATATTGGTAGTGAACATTCTACGTCAGTACCTGATATAGCTATTGAAAATTGTATTTATTAATCTGTATAAAATTTTAAGATTTTTACCAAGTAACAAATGTCAAAACGGTATGTGTAACTTATATTATTGTATAAACTTATTATTTTAGTGATTTTACACAAAAAATGGTAGAGAATAATTTTGTAATAATTTTTGCTGCAGTGTCTAAGCGTGCTTAAGATATTGAAACAACCAAAATGGCTTTAATGATTCTCAAGAATATGTAATGATGTAAATTATTTTATAAACATTGTACACGTGCCTCATATGTTCTATTAATGTGTGATTTCTTTAAAAATCCTACTAGTATGGCGTTTGTAATAAATCGATTAGATATGACATATTAGATATTCAAAAGGATTTATAGCACATTGGTGACACTTAGGTTTTCTTTTAATGTTATTAATTATTATTCGGTGTGCGTTTACATATTAGCGAAAAACATTTTCCACTTTCCAGATCAGCGCTGTGCCGTTTGGTCTATAAATCTGATTATCTTGAAATAGCTGTGTAAGTACTGATATTAACATTTAGACTTACAAAGTGAGAAGTGCTATCTACGACTATAGGGATGATAAAACTAGTTTACTGTTATTTTGGGCAATAGATTTCTCTAAATCTGTAAATGGACTTGCTGAACTTGGAAAAATATTCAAAATGAAAATTGATAAGTTTTAATACACCATCTATTATATAAAATGTCAATTCAAATAGCCGACGTCCCGCCAGTCGCTTAATCGTCTCTTCCACGGGATTCATATAATACATCTCGCTCATAACACAAGCATCTGAGGCGGCTTAGGAAGCGCGTGGCGTTGGCGCGCGTTTTTATCATGTCACAACGTTATCGTATCAAATAATAACGGTGACGGCGTGTGTTGTTTAGATTTAGAATATATATAATAATATATAGTATAGTAGTTTATTACATTTTGCTTAAACCAAATTATCAAATTAATTAGATGTACAAAATTCTTATCTTTTTCAAACCGC